GGGGGGGGGGGGGGGGGGGGGGGGGGGGGGGGGTACGATAATTCTTTATTTATCTATTCTGCATATGTATATGATTTTCTTTTATTATTCAATTTACATTTTCACACTATTTTGCACCTCTCTGGAAAAATGTCTGCCCGTGTGTATGACCCATCACCATCTATTGTAATTTTATTTTACAAAATGTATCTTTCCAGTAAAAAATAATCCAAGTTAAAGATAAAATACGTTATGCTCTGACTATCTCACTAACTATCTGACTAACTCACTATCTACATCTCATAGACTAAAAACATTCTGTGATATAGCAGATATTAGGAAGGCTAAATAAAAAGCTTGTGTTTTCCATAATGTGCTTAACAAGAAAAAGTGACCATTTTTTAATAAACCAGACAGTACTTCAAAAGATGGCAGTATTGTGAAAAGGAAAAAAAAAAAAGAACAAGGAACCTTTAGATTTTGACATTCAAATGATTAGACACATTCTGAACATCTATTGTAGGTCACTCTCAATAGAACTGTACTGTAGTGTTGTATCATTACATAAAGAGTACAATAAAGTTATGATTAGGGCTAGCTGCACAAGTTTCCATTCTTGTTCATAGTCCTGAGCCAACCTGGTGAACATCTACTTACCCATTAACTCACAATACACCACACGGCAGTTAATCATGAAGAAGGGCGTGGGATGAAAACACTGTCGCCCTTTGGCCCCATGTAACCTGACCAACCTTGCTGGTGAAATGGAAGAATGTTTGTGCATTCTTGCCCATCAGGCAAGTCTACTGCATCACAGTGGCATGATATCTTCAACCGATACACAGTCATTTGACCCATTGGACGATTGAATGGATTGTATTCACCAACATTCACATAAGTTCCCTTTTCATCTCTTGCATCATGTCCACTCTTTTTTAAGCATTCTGATGTCACAGCTTCTTCATATGCATCATGGTCCAATCCATAATACTTACCTGTAAAAACAGGAAATAGAAAAAGGCACAAGATACTTTTACGTTTCTACGGTGTTTACATATTTTCATTAAATTTTGATCTTTCAAATGAGTGGTCAACAAAAAAAGTTGATAGAATATTGTAATTGAAATTAAATAACTGAAAAACTAGTATTTTTCAAGATTCAATAATAGAATCTTTTATTTCTTATGGCTTTGACTGAAGATTTTGTGATGGCCTCGAAATAAAATTAGAAGAAATTTTCAGTTGTATATTTTTAAAAGAATGTTTGTTATACTGAATAAAAAATATGCATTAATTATTTTCAGAACAGTATCTGTAATGAAATATAATAACCATAATTTAAGTTACATTTTGCACATCATATTAAGTGAAGTAAGATCAACACATAAATCTTACTAAACTAACATGTGTAGTTGGAGGGACATAAACATATTCTCTTACTAAAAATATCTACATATTTGGAGGTGCAGACACACAGTCTTCTTACTAAAAATATCTATATATTTGGAGGGGCATAAACACACACACTTCTTATTACAAAGATGTGTACAATTGAAGAGATAGTGATATATATATTTTTCTTGTTAGTATACCACATGGAGTAACACAAGCAATATTAGTACACTTTTTATATTAAATAAAAGTATGGCCATGCATTTAGTCTGGTTATCTCGTAAATATATACTATATATTTCCATGCCTCACACCAACTATACTGTAAAGTTGTTAATATAGACAAGGGAAAATCATCACTTTTTAAAAGTAAACGTCAATCCTTATAATATAATTTCATAAAATACCGATTCCTAAGACCCGTCAATTTTAATTTTATCTTCAACTTACTTTCTGGCTGAAATCGTTCAGCCTCTCCAGATAATCTCTCTTGGATACACTTCCGATCCTCTGGTACCAGAGCTTGTGTCTTAGCTGGATAGAACCAAAATGTAGCAAAAACAATGTCCATGCTGTGACTTTCTTTTCCATCTTCTGATAGTGGCTTAACTAAAGTACCTAAACAAACAGAGTACACTGTTTAGCAGCATTGTTATAGTATCCATAAAATAAAATAATATTAATAATACCACCTGGCGTAGACAGGCATTGTCCTGTTTCAGGATATATGTAACATTTCCTTTCTATAAGGTTTCATTCAAATGATAAGTAACCATACTCTTTAGACATGAAATTTGTAGGGATATTTTTCAACCAATCAACTATGGCATTAATCACATTTAAGACAAAGTAAACCTAACAGTAATCCAAGAGGAACAATTAAAGAAGCTCCCTCTTTACTAAAACAAGTGATTTATGTTAGAGAGTTGAAGCATATCACATTGTAGGACTTATACCACCACATGCTGAGGGCTCGTCAGTGCCATTTGGATTTGTGCTGACTGGCAGTGTCGACGGTTAGTAGTTACTTCT